ACGGGAACTACTCTTTTCGTTTCGGGATTGGAGTAGGTAAGGGCAGCGGGACCAGCAAAGCAAGATGAACAATCGGACCAAGCAAGCTATTAAGCCAACTAACAAAGCCACAAGCTACAGGCAGGATCCTTTGTTAGCTCTACGATTAAGGAGTACGTCACCTTCCTTTAGTAAACTAACCTCGTCGTATGTTGAGTTTTACTATACTAAATGAGTTGGCCTATTTGAGTCTTTCCTTTCTTTTTCACTATAGGAATCGACACAAGCACAACACAAGCAAAGAGGGAAAGAAGCAATCTAAACCATTTAGGATAGAATGGCTCGCCACTGAATAGCAAAGAAAGGAAACTCTTTCTTTGCCTCTGGTTAAGCCCCTTCTTACGTAGGACATCGCAAGCTCCTCGCCTTCCGCCAGAAAGCAAGGGCGGCAAGATATGAAGCAGGCCATGAAATAGGTATAATAAGAATTTAGAAAGCCCTATATAAGATATATAATAAATAGGGCCTTTAACAGAGACCAAGGCAAGTAAGCCCGAAGTAGCGTAAGATGAAAGGCACAAAGCTTGACCTTAGAGGTCGGGAAAGGATTTGCTTCTATCTTTCTCATGCTGCTCGACCGTCGGAAGAGGGTGTTTGGAGCTTTCCTGCTTGTGAGTGAGGTTAGAGCGCTAACTAGACCCATTGGATTCTACTTTTCTTTGACTTAACTCTCTCCCCCGATCCGGATTTTGTGCTCTATGAGTGATCAACCGTATCCCTTTGAGTAGTTAAAAAGCAGTGGGCCCATCTTCTTACTTAACGAGTTTGTGCCCCTTCTCTTGGTTTTCTATTCAAGGCTGTTAGCTCGACTTATCCTATTAGAACTTTACCTTACGTCGTAGCATCAGTGGAGCTCCTGGCTGAGGGTTACGTTCTGAGAATTCGACTAAGGGAGGCTCTCAATAGGTTGGAGGTTCATTCTCACCGATAAGGAGAGAGTCAGCGGCTGGTGCCAACGCATAAGTACTCTCTTCTTTTAAGTAGTGCTCCTACCTTAGGGAGAGGAATATCAACCAACAAAGTAGGGGCTTTGGGTCTATAGACCTAGATCAAAGGGATAGAAGGTTACCTAAGTCGACAGGGATGAAGGACTCGGCTGCTAATGCTAAGGATAGGGTTTAGGCTAGAGGTGCAAGGGAAAGGGGAGAGAGAATATCCCGGCTAGAAAAAGCCGATTCATACCATTCCTCGGGCTGACTTAACTCAGCAACTCTTAACTAAAGAATAACTCTAGCAACTGGTGCCCTCAGGGTGGATATCTCAAATCCAAAGAGCAACAAAGAAACTATCTAGCTCTAATAAGAGTTCGGCCTTACCAAAGTAAAGAGATTGGGCTCCTATAGTCATAGTCTCCGTATTATCCTCTGAAAGGCAATTTGAAAGGTCAGAAGGAGCTCCCCCATAAGAGAGAGGAATGAAAGGAAGTAGCTCTAAGAGGAAGTACTTTCTATTCCTCTACTACTAGTAGCAGCTCCAACCTAGAGTCAAACTGGTCTTGAAGGAGCGAGTGGAGTATACGAAACGAGTTGAACTCAGCAAGAGTTGGTTCAGTTCCTATTGATCGTAAGACAGTAAAGTAAGGAATTAACAGCTGAAAGGCGCCAACTAAACTTCTCTCACAGAGGAGTGAATTAAGGGAGAGGAACTAGAGTCACCAACTCGACAGACCCCACTCAACCTTCTTCCTTATCTGTTCGCCTATCTGTTACCTAAAGCATTGATGAGGAAAGCTAGTTTTAGTACTTTTTTTTTAAAGGTAGAACATCGGATCTGCCAACGAGGAAGTTGTTGTTCATATTCCATTCCTGCATCTATATTTCTTGAGATTCTGGATATGCGAGATTCACTTATCATTAAAGAGTAGGCGAGCAAAGTAAGTAACTGCTTAAAGAGCAGGAAATACAGCAAGCGGTTCGCCTTGATCCTTGTGATTGCCAGAGAAAGCTTTCGACTACATCAATGCTCCTTGATAAATGTGAACATACATACTCTCGCCTCCTGTCCCAGGAAGGCCACTTCTACTATACATCTCCACCACGTAGAATGCGCTTGGAGCCATCCTTGTAATCAGAATTAACATCTTCATCTTTACGAACATTGAGTATATTCATAACAATTACTAAAAATTGACCTTCTAATAAATGTTATGACACTTAAAGAGAAAGGACCTAATTAGCTCACACTCCAGAGGCTCATTAGCTACTTAGCTAGAAGCTTCCTAACTACTAGCATCTGATGATGATTCCGATCATAGCTTAGACTCTTCTTCTTTCGCTGTCTTCTTTGGAATTTCTGCTTGCTCCGACCGTAGCCCTATTCTAAAAGAATCGAGGGCCCGAAGGAGAAGAAGAAAGAGGTTTGGAAGGAATCCTGAACCTGTGGTGGCGTCCTTGTGCTAATCGGTCTCTGAAAGAAGGAGCCGATTCTTCCACAAGGAAAGTAGCCAGTCTCTCAATCAGAATCAGGAATTCAAGCCGTAAGGGCTTTGGCTTTCTAGAGCGTTAGAGTCTTCTGGTCCTCGTGTGGCTCCATCTGAAATAAGTATCGAAGGGAGAAGAAGGAATGAGAGACTACGAATGCGGCTTACCTCGACCCCAGAACGTGAGTTTTTGTTACCCCAACAAAACAATTCCTTTATGATGGATAGTGGTCTAAGCCGGCTGTTAGTGCACCTTCTCTTTCGCAGCGAAGTAATCCCCTTCTCCTCTACTCGGGATAAGGGCTGAAGATGGAGTTTCTGTTCTTTCAGGTTTAGCACCATAGGCTAAGTCCGCTAGTCTTGCATTCATTCCTCAGGTGAAGTTAGTTGGTGGAATATCCCTACCCCCAAAACAAAAGAATAAGACAACTATCCTTGAGGTCATTGTAGCGGCCTTTGCTTCGGGTTCAATCGTATCAGCGCCTTCGCAGCCTGCCTGAAGCCTTGAAGATAGATCATTTTGGTTGCTTGTTGATTGATTCGGCGTAACGAGTGATAGAAATACCTTACGAGGGTTTAAGGAAAGCAGTTCGTTCAGTTCAACTTTGTATTCAATCGGGCAAGCTTTCACATATTATGATTTTGACTCTCTATTTGAGCATTCCCACTTCAAAGATGAGGAAGATTCTCCTTATTTTTTATGCCTCGCCGAGGGATTTTCCCAGCTCTAGCTACAGAACAAGAAGCGAATTAGCTTAGCTCTCGAAACAACCGGCGAAGGAGAAAGTTGTCCGTCAACGGGTCAATTCATTGCTTTAGGTAGGCTCTACTTGTAATTGAAATATCAGAAGGGACAACGGGGTAGAAAGTAGTGGGCATGTTCACTCGGTCGATAGAGACCAGAGGAGTCTAGAGAGTCCGAGGCCTCGGTCTTTCTTACATTCTTCTTTTTCACCTCCAATCCAATCAATCCACTTGTCTACTTGCTTATCGGTATTCGTTGCCATCCTCTTCTCTTAGAGGTTTAACTGCAACAACATAAGCTTCAACAGGAAAGCGGAAAAGCAGCGACTTTTAAAGAGTGGAACCTCCTTTTCTAACCGCAGCTTCAGATCTCGGAGACTCCGATCAAAGACTGAAAAGCAAGAAAGAGATGCTCTAAGCTTGATACATTCAATTAGAACTCCCCCTCCCTGACTTCCTATTGCTACAAGATTTGGTAGCGCACAAGAGTAGGAGCTTGATCCGTGCTGGTAGTTCCGGGTCTTAGAAGACGCCTTTCTTTCATTTCTATAGTTGAACATGGATTCTCGATAACTAGCTTGCCTAAGTTTCTTTGGCCTATATCTTCCGGTCTTTCTCTAAATAGCTTAGCTTAAACTTCAAAGCCCCTTATTCTATTTCTATCCACTACGATGGAATCCGTGAAGTGCTAGAAGTGGAGGGAAGGCCTAGTGAATCTAGCACTATGGTGGAATCTAAGTGTAAGATATTGTTCCACGGTTGGAAAACTAGCTCCTATGCGCCTGGAGGTAGGACGTTAGAAAAAGGATATGAATTAGGCTATTTATACCTACTATTAGGCTTTCAGTGTAGTAACCTAGATGCTGACTCCCATCTATAGTCAAAGAGAAGAAAGTAAGTCGTCCCAGATAAACTACTGATCTAGCTCTTTCGCATCGAGGTCTTTCGTTCGAGCAAAGGAAGCGAAGAAATTGAGTACTAGCACGTATGGCTATGAATGCTGCAAACAGGCTTTCTGCAATTGCTGCCGAAATGGGGCAACTGCAAAATGAAATTCAAGAACACCGTAGGGTGCTAAACTTCCTTTTGATAAGTGTTAGAACAACAATAGATCCCGCAAGGAAAGAAGCGCGCATTCGCGCTACCAGAGAGCGCATAGAGGGTTTGGGTGTTGTGAAGCTACGTCCCGCGGTAGGAGTCTGAGTCCTGCCGAAGTATTGATTCAGTTAATGACAAATTCTATCGAAAAGACCTCTGGCTTGAGTGGCGGTCTTGAGGTAAACCTTTATCGTTCTTCCAAGGCTGTTGCCAATGAAGGAGAGGCTTTCTTCATCATAATACTCCATAGGGCAGTGCGGGATCCTTAGCCATGCTGCTACAGTATTGATGCTTGCTGGCTTTGGATCAAAGTCTGGTTCCCATTGTATTGTCAAACTGTCAGGTAGTGGTCATATATGAGCCACGGACCTCCAGTGAGAGTGTATTCATTGTCCTCCTTTCTAGTGAACATGACTAGGTTTTCTTAGAGAAAGAAAAACTAGGAATGGAAATCTTGCCACCTTTAGTCATGACAACAGTGATACCCTCTTCCTCAGGATCAGCGGGTTTGATACTCTCTTCTGCTTCAATAGGATCTTCATCATCAAGAAAGTACTTCTGGATCTCCACGGGGTTGAGGTCCTGGGTTCTTTCCTGATCAGGCTGGTCAGTGAGCTTAGCTCAGTAACTCTCCTTCATTCAGTTCTTCTTCTTCCATGGCTTCCCGTCGGGTGTCTTCCACCATGTACACGACATCGTCCTAAGTGCATCTCATGCTCTTCTTGGCCCTTCTGTAGTTGTGATCCGAACCGTACTTCAAAAAATTCCAAGCCTGAATCCGGGGGAACTTAGCTGCCCAAGATTGGTTACAAAAAGCCCAATCCAAGCGTTCTTTGACCCCTTCTTTCTCCCGGGTGAACCTATCGCCAACACAGTCAAGGTCAAAGAGATTCGCGTCGATGATGCAATCTTTGAGAGCCCCCATCGATTGAGTACTTGGTGTAGCACCCCTACTTTTTTCTTCTGGAGACAAGTATATGTTAAAATCCCCCATGACAAGCCACGGTCCATTAATACTTCCGGAAATCGTCTTCAGAGAATCCCATAGAGCCATGCGCCCCGAAGGATTAGTTTCCCCATACACACCAGTGACGAGCACCGACTCTCTTGTCTTCCTCTTCGTCACTAAGCAGTGAAGAAGTTGAGGATTCGAATAAACATAGTCGGCATCGAACTCGGAATTGCGCCAAAGCAAGCAAATACCACCGGAGAACCCCAAAGCTTCGACTCTGATCCAATTGGTAAATCCTAGTCTTTTAAGAATCTTGCTTGCCTTCTGTCCGCTCACTCTAGGCTCCACCACGATCAGGATTTCCACTGTAACACAGGCCTATGAATCCGCATGAGTGTAAGAATTTGACTCCACACCTGCTTAGAAAATCCACATTCAAAGAACAGATGAGCCACAGTTTCTTATCCTTGATCACAGAGAACACAGTCAGCTGAACATGGCAATCCCCACTTCAGCATCCTATCCTTTGTATACAGCCTGTTACTCAAAGCAAGCCAGCATATAAATAAGCTTTTGGGGCTAGCTTTGTTGTTACAAATCACTCTCCTTGCCACTTCTCTAGACCTTCTAGTCACCACTTTCCATCCCCCATCATCATCAGAGGACACTTGAGGGACAGGTTGAGCTGGAGTGGCCACAACAGGCAAAGGAGGCACTGTAGTAGTAGAGGCAGGACCAGTAGTAACAACGGGAACACTAGGCTCAGTAGTAGGAACTTCAGAACTGTCTTAGCTTTAGAAGGTTTCGATTTTTGAGCTTGTGAACAATTATGCCCAACCTTATTGCCTGAAGCACAGAATGGTGGCTTCCATTCATACACAACAGGCTGAGTATAGTTATTACCAGAAGCATCTTCAACCTGAATTTCAGTAGGTAGAGGCTGAGTGATGTCCATTTCAATCAGGAGTCTAGCAAAGGAGATCCTAAGCTGTTGAGAAGTACAGGCATCTGCAAAGAGAGGCACACCTAGAGTACTACCAACTCTACTCAAGGAATCCTCAGTCCAGCAATGAAGAGGAAGGTTAGGCAATCTAAAGAGAGCTTGCTTGCAATACAATGCAAGGTTTGAAGAGCGCCATATAGTATATGCTAAGGAACAAAGCCCCTGACGCCTTATATATAGTCTCTTGACTTCCTTCGCATACAGGTAAACTGATACGCACATTTCCTTAGTTAGACCATCAGCAGTGACAAGTGTCTTTCTTCGAAGAGTCGTTGCCACCGAAAGTGGAATGAGAGAGGGAAAGAGCTTTGATAAGTAACCAAGCGGTTCATACTCTTTTCTCCTGAAGCCCTCGTACCTGTCCTCCAAAGGTTCGCGCATCGGACTCCCCAGTCTCCATGCAATGATAAAGAAGGAATGATTGTCTTCGGTAAGCATGAACCGTATGGCCTATTGATTTTAGCATGTTAATTTTTTACTAGAGCGAAGCGAGAAGTAATATCTTTTCTTGGATGTTCTTAAGCAAAGAGTAATCAGAATCAATGGTATGCTATAATTGAGAGATAGCGAAATAAGAAGACAAGAGTACTACATATACCAAAAGAAATGATTGATATAGAGCGAAGAATGTAATGGAGGGAGAAAGAACCCTCGACCCTTATGGGCGGAGACTGATCCCTCAAAGAAGTTCGCTACAAGGTCAAGGAAACAGGCTTGCTTAGCACGCGTCTTCCTCAGGGCCGTTTAATGAAGTCCTTCCTGGTCTGCTATACACTCAAGTTGAGGTTTGACTCAGTCAATCTTGAAAGAGTCTTGAATGATTCCGTCTTCCGGGGTTGTAAGATGAAAGTCACAGTAAAGAGTTGGAAAGCGAGTGAGTGAACTAAACTACTAGGAGTACAACAGTTTAGGCTTTGCCCAAATAAGAGTGAACATTAGTAGGGCTAGTGGTGATCTTTGCCCTGGTCACACAACTCTTCTATAATACGAGACACCAGCCTTTGAATTCCCCTTTCTTAGTTAGGGATTGCGGGTTTTGGAAGTGGAAAAGGCGGTAACTCAATTAACACCACCCGGATTTCATTCAGCTCGACCCGCCCTTTATCAGCCTTTCTCCGTTCCTCCTTCTCTGCTTAGCTCTGAGCCCGTATTCCCTTCTTCTGTTGCCGAATCAGCTCTCTCAGACGAAGAAGATTTTGCTCTTGGAAGAGATGCTACAAGGAGATCACCCCCTGGAAGATGATGAATTTCGACCATCAATAGATGCTTTGAAGTATGCTCACGGACCAGCCCTTTCACCTAAACCAGAGATATCAGAGTACCAGGTTGCCTATGTTTCCTGACACTGGCTTTCAGAAAAAGGCAGGAAGGGTAGTAGGATATTAAAAAACTATAGTCAACTCCAGATTGAAACCATCTTTTCTCAGAGAAGTGAGCTCTTTCTGCTGTCTTCACCCGGTTCTTTGGGAAAGTGGTGAACTGTTGCTAGGGGATCCCACTCCTGGCACTCGGAACTGACTCTTCTTCAAGAACGAACGGGGAATTCTCCCCTGGTTGATAAAGAGTCTGAGTTCTATTATCAGGGTGTTACTACATCTTGACTCCTGCTTTCCGGAACAATCTCTAGCCGGCATGCAAGCCTCTATCCCATCTCTTAATAGAAGCAATAAATTGTGATCCGAGGGAATAGAGAAAAGCTGTGTAGGGCGTTCTCTTTGCTTAAAGATAGCCTAGAAGAGGACTAGAAGCGGAATAGGTAATATGCCGCGAACTCAGCTTACCTTCTTCTATCGGTTTTTTTCGGACAGCAACTTTATAGCTTACTCCGCACCACTAAGAGTCTCAGTTACTCGAGAAAGACTTATTCTTATTCCAGTTCAGAAGACCGGGAAAACCCCCCGCGAATGTCTAGCCTCCCTATAACTATAGAATTTCTTAATATAAGAAAGGAAAGTCGAACCCAAGGGGCATATCTTTACTAGGTTATGATTCGCATCTCGAAAGAAATGCATTGATAAAGGATCTCACCTTACTCGTTAAAGTAAGAAAGTAAGCAAGTAAACAGCCTTATGCTTTACACTAGGTTCGAAGATAGCTATTGTTTCTGTATCCACTCCTGCAGGGTCTTTAGAGCTGGGTCGCTAGACCCAGTGGAGCAGAGCTGAATAACTAAGTAAGACGACTCAGTATCGAAGACCGAAATAACGCCTAGTATAGGCGACGGGGCGAAGACTGAACTAGTATAGACGCAGGATTGAAGACCGACGTATAGTAGGCGGGACTCGTTTTCTTCTTTTTTGTTACTGTATCGAAGCAAAGAAACGATCGTTATTCATGCTGTTGATTGAGACCGAGATAGAACCTATGTGTTGCTCTATGTGCTGTCGCGGGAAAGGAACGAAGAAGATTCAGAAACCTAAGTCTTTGAACAAGAAGACGGGTGCGCGGTAGCTTATCCTTCTTATGCTTGTTCTTCACTTCCTTATCAGTAGATCTTGCTGCTATCGGTCCTTTTGCTAAGGTAAGAAGGAAGTCGCTAAATAGAAAGAATAGGACTATCGGCTTGATCTTTCTTTTCAAGCTGAATCGAATAATAGAAATCTCGTAAGAGAAGAAAGAAGAGTCGCTTTCTTCATATGCCAAAAACTCCCATGACTTTCCTTTTCAGTACCCATGTTCCCACGTAGTTCGTTGGAAAAACCAGCGATTTTCCAAAATGGAATTTTCACCACCAAACCAACGAATTCTAGAGGCTTGACGGAGTTCCGTTAAGCTGTCTAGAAAGAATCATTCAAAATCGACCACTGTTATGAATAAAATCGTTCTTTATGAGCAACCAACGTGGAGCGATATCGATTTTATAATGAATCGATCTTTTACTTCCTTCCCTTCTTCGAATTCCCCGGTTTCCTCAACAGCGTCCGACGCCCAGAGTGCGCCACCGGACGTTCCGGTTTTATTGCAGAGTCTGTGTGAGGAGTACGACCTGTTATTGCGGACAACTGGACGGGTATTACCCCCGGAATGGCGGATGCCTGACCTTGTTCAGGCATCATTCGGAGACGCGGGTATGATACCCTCCTTTCTAACGGACATGTATTGTGATACCGTGTTACATGGCACTGCCAGCTGGGGCTGGCAGGAGCTTAGTAATTTCCTGGATCTTATCCACTATGTGTTTTAGGGAGTATTAAGGGAGTTCTAATTCCCATGGAATGTCATTTGTGGGGCAAAACCTCACTTAACTTAAGTTTTTTCACGTAAAACTCAGTTCAGAGGACACCGGGACGCTTTCCAAGTATCTTCGGGGTAGGCCCGTTTCCGATGTGTCTGTCCGAACAGTAAAGGAAAAAATCTCTCTTTTTTTATGACAAATCTGGTTCGATGGCTGTTCTCTACTAACCACAAGGATATAGGGACTCTCTATTTCATCTTCGGTGCCATTGCTGGAGTGATGGGCACATGCTTTTCAGTACTGATTCGTATGGAATTAGCACGACCCGGCGACCAAATTCTTGGTGGAAATCATCAACTTTATAATGTTTTAATAACGGCTCACGCTTTTTTAATGATCTTTTTTATGGTTATGCCTGCGATGATAGGCGGATTTGGGAATTGGTTTGTTCCAATTCTGATAGGTGCACCTGACATGGCATTTCCACGATTAAATAATATTTCATTCTGGTTGTTACCCCCAAGTCTCTTGCTCCTATTAAGCTCAGCCTTAGTAGAAGTGGGTAGCGGGACTGGGTGGACGGTCTATCCGCCTTTAAGTGGTATTACCAGCCATTCTGGAGGAGCTGTTGATTTAGCAATTTTTAGTCTTCATCTATCTGGTGTTTCATCCATTTTAGGTTCTATCAATTTTATAACAACTATCTTCAACATGCGTGGACCCGGAATGACTATGCATAGATTACCCTTATTTGTGTGGTCCGTTTTAGTAACAGCATTCCTACTTTTATTATCACTTCCGGTACTGGCGGGGGCAATTACCATGTTATTAACCGATCGAAACTTTAATACAACCTTTTTTGATCCCGCTGGGGGGGGAGACCCCATATTATATCAGCATCTTTTTTGGTTTTTCGGTCATCCAGAGGTCTATATTCTCATTCTGCCTGGATTCGGTATCATAAGTCATATCGTTTCTACTTTTTCCGGAAAACCGGTCTTCGGGTATCTAGGCATGGTTTATGCCATGATCAGTATAGGTGTTCTTGGATTTCTTGTTTGGGCTCATCATATGTTTACTGTGGGCTTAGACGTTGATACCCGTGCTTACTTCACCGCAGCTACCATGATCATAGCGGTCCCCACTGGAATTAAAATCTTTAGTTGGATCGCTACCATGTGGGGGGGTTCTATACAATACAAAACACCCATGTTATTTGCAGTGGGGTTCATCTTTTTATTCACCGTAGGGGGACTCACGGGAATAGTCCTGGCTAATTCTGGGCTAGACATTGCTCTACATGACACTTATTATGTGGTTGCACATTTCCATTATGTACTTTCTATGGGAGCCGTTTTTGCTTTATTTGCAGGATTTTACTATTGGGTGGGAAAAATCTTTGGTCGAACATACCCTGAAACTTTAGGTCAAATCCATTTTTGGATCACTTTTTTCGGGGTTAATCTTACCTTCTTCCCCATGCATTTTTTAGGGCTTTCGGGTATGCCACGTCGCATTCCCGATTATCCAGATGCTTACGCAGGATGGAATGCCCTTAGCAGTTTTGGTTCTTATATCTCTGTAGTTGGGATTTGTTGTTTCTTCGTAGTCGTAACAATCACTTTAAGCAGTGGAAAGAACAAAAGATGTGCTCCAAGTCCTTGGGCTGTTGAAGAGAATTCAACCACACTGGAATGGATGGTACAAAGTCCTCCAGCTTTTCACACTTTTGGAGAACTTCCAGCTATTAAGGAGACGAAAAGCTAAAGTAAAAGAAAACTTTTTAAAATGAAAGAGGCGAAGGAGACGAAAAGCAGCTAAGAACCTAACAGAACTTTTTTTTCTTATGTTTTTCTAATTAAGTCGCATTTTTTGAATTACATTCCACGCGAATCTAATAAAGTAAGTAGTTTCTTATATCCTAAAAGATAAGAGAAGAACTAACCTAAAGATTGACTCTTCAACTTGTCGTTATAGAACTGAGGAGGATCAATCCCTTAAAGAAAGCGAAAAGACTAGCAAAGGCGATTCGTTGCATCTAGGGTTCTGGCTTTAAATCAAGAAAGAATATGAGGCGAGGAATCCTGCAATATTAAGAACTTCCTCCAACATCATTCCATAGTATGCCTTTTCTATTTACTGTCAGATTGTGCGGAAGCTGGCCACTCGCTACGCCGTGTGCGTAGAAAAGCTCTTAAAGTTTAAA